GTTTTCAGCCTCTGGCTTCACCCAGGGCCATGAAGATCAGCAAATCACTAATAGGGCTGAACCTCCGCGAGTGGCTGGAGGGGGAAAACCTGTCAGAGGCTGCTCCTGCGCTGCGCCCGCTCCCAGCAGCTTCCCGGGATCCCCCAGACTGATAGCCCCGTAATGACAGCAGCAAGGAGCAGGAGGCTGTGCTGTTAATTAGCTGAGATACAAACCGGGCTGGGAGACTTTGCAGCACTGCAAGGTTAATGCCGCAATTAACAGGCTTCGTCTATTTATTATGAATAATAATCATATTTGGCTTTTCTTCGGATGCCTCAATCTGTCTGTCTCCCCACCCCTCCGTGTTTGCACCGTCTCTCCTTTTCCTCGGACTATCCGGGTTCATCACTCTTGTAGCAGAGCCCTGCCTTGCAAAGCACTTCGTTAGCACAAATGGATTATGATGTTGCATCTGATGAATAGTATCTGTAACAGCTGCCAAGGGTAAAGCACAAACAGGAGCAATTAACGCAGCTTCCGAAGGGAAAGGTGGCCCTGGGTCGCCAAGGCAAGGCAGGCAAGGCTCCCCCTGCACCCCGCAGCGAGTCCTCCCCCTGTGCGGGAGGTATCAAAGTGAGGAGATTTGCAGGGTCAAGTGGTCCCCGTCCCCATCCGTCCTCCTGCGGGCGAGGGCTGCAGCTGGTGGTGTCCAGGGGCTGCAGCTGGGGGCTCCTGTCCAGACCCCAGGCATTTGTTGGGGCACAGGCACTGGGAAACAGCTCCTGGCCACAGCTGCCCGTGCCCTCCTGGCTGCCCGCCTGGCCTCTGCCTCCGACACTGGGTTTCCCATATTTATATGTGTTTATGAGGATTTTATGTGCTCATATAAATAGATATTACGTATATTTATCTGTTGAGTGGTTTAGGACCACATAGGCTCTCCGAAGAGCTTCTTTGGTGCCTTCAGTTTGGAAATGAAGCAATCTGAGCAAAGGGCCGTGGGCACAACTTTCCCACTCAATGCCCCGTCCTTCCCCAGCACTCCCGGGCTCATTCCCCAGTTGTTGGCTGGAGCCAGCAGCCTCCCTGCTCCCAGCACACGGGAGGACAGCAGCGGGGCTCAGGGCACAGCAGCAGCCTGGGGACCTGCTGCAGCTCCCCGCGGCCGGCTGCCGTAGCTGCCTTCCCTCCAGGTGGGACGGCTGCGAGATGAACGCCTGCCGGGGCGGAATTCAGTGGTCATGTGTCTCCATTTCATCCCTAATATACACAATTAATAAACTTAATTACATGTTACATCGTGGCAGCTGAAAAATGAGTGCGATCCTTTCTCCTACAGCTTTGCACCCAGCCTGGCTGAGGACACAGCCGCCACCACCCCTCTTCCAGCCCTGGCACTGCCAAGCCCTGTGTCCTGCCTGGCCATTCCCAGGGGGCTCACGAGGTGATGCCCGTCCTTGCACGGCTGTGGCAGTGGTGCTGGGTCCCAGGGGTCCCAAATGTACCCCTCGGTGGGGTACGTGAGAGGCAAAGCCCAGGTGTGTGCAGTCTGGCACGAGCACTGAGCCTGGAGCTGGCCCAGGCAGCTGCACAGCAGAGCTCTTCCCTTTCCTTACACCATGCCCTGTGTTTGGAAACCCTTCCCAGAGCCTCCTTCATCTTCTGAAATCCTCTCCCCAGCACCGTGTGTTCGGTGCTCAGCACTGGTGTGGAGCTGTCTGGTCCCTGATTCAGCTCCATGCGGGGCTGCTCCCTGCACAGGGCGATTGCGCCCGGTTTGCCCGGGGACAGCACAAGTCCCCAGTGCAGAACAGCACCCGGGGAGGCTGCGGGGACCGCTGGCACTGTGCGGGTGTGGGAAGGAGGGGGACAGGGGACATCTGCTCTGTGGGGCCGTGCCAGGCAGCAGAGCTGTGGGAGCTGCTGCTGCCCCCGGGTACGCACGGGGCAGGTCGGGACACCACGGGCAGGGGCTGCCATCGGCCCCCACCTCTGGTTCCTCCTCCGGGGGAGAAGGAGTTAACAGCTCCCTCCGCTGCCGCAGCACTGAAGTTCATTACTTGTGCTAATTGCTTTGAAGTCAGTGATTCGGCAGCTAATGGGAAATGTATCTCTGGGTAATAGATTAATTGGCCGCTGCTGACCAGCGTGCAACAGGGGCTGGGGAAGGGGCTCGGCTGCGGCTGTCCCCCCGCGCTGGGACCTGGCGTCCTGAGCTGCTCAGCACCCGCAGCCCGCTGGTGACAGGGCACAGGGCTACGGGGGGGACATGGCCACCACGCGGGGCAGCAGCCGGGGTGCAGGTGTTGGCTCCTGCCCCGTGACAAACTCCTTCCTTTGGTTTTCCAACAATTAATGCGGGTGCGTGTGGAACTAATTCAAAGGCGGCCGTGTAAGAGACACCACCGGTGCCACCAGAGAAGCTTTACTTTCCCTTGTAATGAATGTGGCCATAAGTACTTTGCAACCATATGGTAATTATGTTTAATAAAAGACATTTCCTGTAATTAAACAGCTTTATTAAGGCATTATTAGCCCTTTAAGTTGAAAAATAGCTGAACAGAGGTGTAATAAGGTGCCAGCATCTGTATTTGGTGCACAGATGGATGGGGAGCTCCCATCCTTGTGTCGATGCCCGGTCCCAGGGCCGTGACCGCGTGGCGAGGTGCAGGGGGAGCGGTGGCACCGGCCACCTCCTGTGCCCAGCGTGGGCAGCCCCGGCCTGGCAGGGAGCCACTGCTGCTCCGGCACCGGGCACAGCACCGGGCAAGTCTGCACCCTCACCTCCGTGTCACGTCCATCCCAAAGCCAGCGAACTCCTGGTGTGAATAAAGCTGGAAGGTGACTTGAGGTGCTCCCCACTTTGGGGTTCCCCTACAGGCTGGTGGGGCAGGCAGCCCTCACCCCGCTTCCCTGCTCACCCCAGGGCTGTGCCACCGTGCACCAGCAGGAACGTGGCCGTGCTGCCACGCAGCTGCCTCCCGCTCCCCTTCCTCGATGCTGATTTGAATAATTCAGTGTGGCCTCGTCTCGGGGGCACCGTTGTCTTCAGCGAAGGCAAATCAGCAGCCTGGACAGCCTGTTAAGAGGGCCCCAGCCTGCTGCCTTTTTCTGTAAATCAGGATTAATGAGACGGTGGAGGAAACCCAAAGCCCAGCGCTGCTCTGCTGGCAGCTCGCTCCGCACAGCCGCCAGGCTCCGCAGCTCCGGCTGCCTCCGTGCCCGCAGGCACTCGCAGCAGCAGCCGGTGGCATGGGGGCATCGGGCTCCGTGCCACCCGCCCGGTGCTCAGCCTGACCACTGTCCCCCTGGGCAGCAGCAGGGGCCGTGCACCGAGCCCTGCCTGCAGCACCGCAGCTCCGTGGCACCGCGCACACTGCGCCTTTCGGTGCAGGACATGCATGGTTTGTAGCAGAGAGTGAAGGCTGGTGCGGGGGAAGAGGCCAGGCAGCCTCAGCACACAAGAGGTTTTGGCCCCACCGTGGTGCCCAGAGGCTGTGTCAGCTGACCCCCCTGCTGTTTCCAGCTCAGCCACATTCCCGCTGTGATGTGGTGAGGATCTCCTTCAGCTCACACCCTGCACCCATTCGGGCTGCCCTTCCTCCATCCTGCCGGCACTCCTCTTCCTCTCCGCCCTGGGACTCCCTGGGACCAGGAATGGGACAAGAGAAGGGGTAAGGAGATGCTGTGGGATGGCTGCCTGCTGTTGGCCATGCTGCTGCCTGGAGCACAGCACGGAGCGGGCTGGGGGTCCTGTAGCGCAGGCATCCCTGCGGTGTGGCTCCGTGTTAGTCCCCACCAGCTCTGGAGAACAGGAGCCACGGCCAGAAGCCAGCCGCCTGTGAGGGCACTGACCGGAGGAGAAGAGAGGCGTGACACTGTTGGTAGCTTTTTTTTCTCCATCTGAATTTGTGCGGCCTGTCCTCTAATCATTTGTACGTTATCCATCATCCCCGGTCTCCCTTTCCCTGCTGTCGCACAGCTCCAGGCAATCTATCTTACAGTTAAAAAATTGTCTCTCTTACACAGGGGCTTTCAAACAAGACAAATAGAAAGAATAAGATCTGGTATTGAGATGCTGTGTACAGGGTGTGATACATAAAGCGGTGGGTAAAAGATCCCAGCTGATTGTCAGCAGCAGATCTACGGCGCTGTCAGGCTCGGCGTGTCCCCGCGGAGGGCGCGAGCAGGAGCCAGCCCGGCTGAGCGGCTCCGAGTCCCCGTGCCCGTCCCCAGCCCTGTCCCCAGCCTTGACAGGGTAATAACTGCGGGTTTCTGGTGCTGGGGCAGAAATGCAGCTGGTCTGTGTCGTGCTGCTGCTGCACGGGCTGAGCGCTGCCTTGTGGCATCCCTCATCCTTCGGTGACAAGGTCACCCCCACCCAAGCTCCCTGCCGACCTGGAAGCTGGGGTTTGGGGCATCCAGAGGGAGAGCTGCCCCCAGCTGATGCTTTTCTCAGCTGGACGAGGTGAGGTTTGCCCTGCTGCTGCCGGGGGTGGCCACACACCCAGCACCCTGGGGACCTCCTGCTGAAGCGCACCTACTTCTGAGACAGGGCAGAGAAATACGTGCTTAGGGCTTAGAGCCTGAGCATACTCAGAGGGGCTGAAATAGGAAATGTCCCTCTCTGGGTCCGTCCCTCTGTGCGGAGCAGCCGGCGTGTCCCAGGGCCAGCAGAGCCGTGGGAGCCGGGGATGCTGCGGCTCTGCGGCAGTGCAGAACCTCGCCGTGCCTTCCTCCCTAATGAGGCAAAATAAATTTACGTGGTGTCGGATTCCCCCCCCTCCTCACGCTAAAGCAAAGGCAGTTTTCCGCTAGTTTAGACAACCTCCGCTCTCGCCTGAGCCGCGAAGCTCGCAAGCTGCCTGCATTTTTATGAGCTGACTTGTTATACGCAGTGGAAGTATGCAAAATATGTCAAGCCCAAGCAGAGATTTGAATCGAAATGACTCTAATTACTTGTAATAATTTTTGCATTCCTACATAAAACAATGTTAAAAAAACCTCCATTACAATAGTTAAAAGACAAATCATTTAGCAAGTCCCTTACTTTATTGCTTTATTAGACGATTTACTTTGCAACATTTTGAGCATTCGATCGGGTGATTGCCCAGAGCTATTCCACCGTGAGCTGCTAACGGAGCTCGTCCGCTGTCGTTACTCAAAAGCCAGGCACCGCCACCACGAGATGATCTGGCTCATCAAATTAGCCATGGTGCCCGGTCATCAGCTTGGCACCGAGCTGGTAGGAGGCTGGTTGCTCTTCCTCATCCACCTTTGGTCTTTGTCTCGACCACAAACCCACCATGGGGCCTGGTCTCGCGGAGCCGCTGGTGCCACCCTTCCCTGCACCTCGTGCCCCATGGAAAGCAGCAGCAGAGAAACTGTGAGCATCTGAGAGCGCTGTGAGCCGGGACGGGCTGGCTGCAGCAGGACAGACGTGTGACCGCGGTACAAACCTCGACAGAGGCAGTGGGACCTTCTGGAGCAGGGTGTGGGAAGGGCTCAGACTTGCCCGTGCTGGGTAACGGGGCAGGCGTTGGATCCGGGCACTCGTGGCAATCCTGCAGGTGTCTCCGGATTCAGAGGAACTCTAACACAACGAGAAGAATTTACATAGATATGAATTGTACAGTCTCTTTTCCTTACGCATTTAGTTTCTTAGCAATGGGTAAAGCCCCTTGGTAAAGCCTGGGTGTCCTTGCTGCTTGACTTTGCTGTGGTGGTTTTGGTGCTCAGGGCCTGGTTATTGGCTGCACGCTGCCCATGGTGCGATGCACGTGTGTGTGCAGTGCCTTGCACACATGTGACCCCTGGGTCAGTGCTCCTGCAGCTCGGCGCTGCCTCCCACCACATCACACCCTGCTCTGCGTGCCCTCAGTCTGATTTAGGGCCAGTCCCCAAAGCTGCAGGACAGGACACGGGGCTGCTCCTTGCACAGGGCCAGCCCAGCCCGGCTGCTGGCCTATAAAAGAAATCATTACGTTAAGATGAGGCACAAATTGTGTCAGCAAACTCACGGGAAATTCCCCTCTGAAGAGAGGGGCTGGGATGCCCTGGGTGGTTTTGGGCCGGGAGAGGTGCTGTGCCCTGAGCCTCCCTGGCACAGGAGCACCACAGCCCGCGGCACCGCGGCACCAGCAGCCTGGCAGAGCCTTGGTGGGGCACCGCGGCCACGCAGCCCTGCTGCCCTCAGGGCTCGGGGAACCCCAGGGGCTGAGCAGTGTGCTGTGTGTGTGCTGTGTGCTGTGTGTGCTGTGTGCTGTGTGTGTGCTGTGTGCTGTGTGCCCCGTGGTGCAGCGCGGTGTGATCCCTGCACGCTGCCGGCCGCCCCGTGCCCAAAGCAAGGGGCAGGGCGCAGGGAGCAGGCAATGCGCACGGAGCTCGCAGAGCCCCAGGGCAGAATTAATCTTCATCCCCGCAGATCAACACGCGTTTATGCCAACCTCTGTCTTATTCAAGAATTGCGCAGGATAGATGCTAATGACTGAGTGGAGGACTGTGACCTGTTCCTCTCATTCACACAGCGCAGAGGAGCCAAAGGCGTGTGCTGAGGTCAGGCCCGCTCCTGCCACTGCTGGGACAGAGCAACCAAACCTGCCTGCACCAGCCAAAGCAGGAAAAAGTTTTAAAAGGTTTCCTGGTGTTTGAGAAAAGCCTCCCCTGCGGGCGTTCAGGTGTGCCATTGCTCCAGGCAGTGCTGGCTGCAGGCGGGCTGGGTTCGGCACAGCGCCTGGCACAGCTGGGACAGCCCCTGCCCTTGGCATCGTGGTGCTGAGAACAACCCACCAAAACCTGCTCCTGGCAGGTCCTTTCAGTGGATTTATTTGGGGAAAAGCCCCAAATTTGGGGTCAGGAGGAGCGCGGGGGCTCTCGGGCAGCTCCGGCCCCTGCGCAGCGCGGTGCCGAGCGGGCAGGGGCTGTGGCAGGGCTGCGCTGCCGGCAGCTGCGAGGCAGGAGCGCCGAGCACGTGTCAGCAGCAGCCAACCAGGCCCTTCATTTAGACAGATTAAGCAAGTTGCTTATTGCCTGTGACATAATTTAGATGAATGGTGTGGGTAATCCATCAGGCAGACCCTGCGTAAGGCCCTGGAAGCAGTCGGTGGGGGATCCCATTACCTTACATGTGTTAACAGCCAAACTCCTTTGTATAAACAACAAAGTGGCTCTCCTGAAAAGGCCGATTTTCCCTCATTGTCTGGGAGAGGGCTGGCGGGGCGGCGGTGATGGATGGCGGCGGAGAGCGGGGCGGGATGCGGCCATGCGGCGGGTGAAGAGGGACACCGTGTGGGGACACGCCGCTGCACCGCAACGAGCCGTGCTGTGCTGCACCGCCGCATGCTGCAGCACCGCTCCTGCAAGGCTGCACGATGCAACGCTGCACAATGCGATGAGCTGTAACACTGCGCGCTGCAATACTGCATGCTCCAACACGCTGTAACACCGCGCGCTGTGCTGCTGCACAGTGCAATGCTGCATGATGCAACCCTGCACACTGCAACGGTGCATACCGCAGCACCACTGCTGCATGCTGCAACGCTGCGTGATGTGCCCAGCTGTTGTGCTGCAATGCTGCAATGCTGTGTGGTCCAACATGCTGTGGTGCCGCAACACTGCACACTGCAAAGCTGCATGCTCCAACATGCTGCAATGCTGCACGCTGCAATGCTGCATGCTCCAGCACACTGTAACACCTCACACTGCACCGCTGCACCCTGCAGCGCACCACCACACCCCGCAGCACCACATGCTGCACCCCAGATGCCGGGTGGTTCTGCAGCCCTGCAGCTGTGTGCACCCAGGCTGGGTACCATGGGGGAGTCCTGGGGCTGGCTGCAGCAGCAGCTGTGTCATGGGGCTGGGGAGGGAGGGGTGGCTCAGGCTGCAGCCCCCACTGCGTTAGTGGTTGGGGTAAAGGGGGTCAAACTCCAGGACTCCTGCTGGCTCAGTCCCCTGGCAACAATCAACATTAAAAATCTCATTAGGCTTTTATTAGAGACATAGAAAAGAAAGGAAGCAGTTATAGCATCTTAAACATTGAGTATTAAGCAAAGCTTTCAATTAACAAGCCATTTATTTCCCTTCCCCTTGGCAAGAGCCAGTCTTTAAAAAAGGGGAGAACCAAAACCTGCTGGAAGCACAGGTGCTGGCGATACCTGCTCCTGGGGGCTTAGCTGAGACTGCCTGGAGATGCTGCTGCTATTGCTGGAGCTGATCTCACTTCCTTGGAGACAAAATAAAAGCAGGCAGAAAGGGGACAAAAACAGCAAAGACAGAACCATCTGTGTGGGTGTGCGGCACCCAGCCCCTGCCCCTCTTGGGGTGCTGCAGGAGGCTGGGGCCAGGGCGGCTGTCTGCGTCCTGGGGGGCTCGGGGCAATGTGCTGGCTGGGCTCAGACCCTGCGAGGAGGCTGCCCTGCTCTGAGCCCTGGCACAGCTCCTGGGACCAGCACAGGGTGCCCGTGAGCACTGGGCAGCCCCGCTGCCGAAGGTCCCCTCTGGTCAGGAGGGTCCCTGCCTTGCTCCGGCACTAAAACCAGCCACCAAAGTCATTTATTGCTCCTCAACTCCCCACCAGGAACATTATCCCTTAATTGCTGCATTTATTCAGACTTATTCTGTATATCTAACAATAATGACTGTATTAGATATGTAATTATTACTGTCATAAACGTAATAGTGACAAAACAATAATTGAAATAGTGTCTATGAGGATAATTCACCATTGCAATTAATACTGCCCCGCTTAGTTAATATGTCATGGCTTAAAATAAATGCTGTCATTACTCCATTACTAATACTGTGTTATAATAATTATTGCAGTAATAATTAAGTGTCTATAGTGATCATGGATTGCCATGGATTGGAATAGAAATCTCTGTAAATAACACGGGAGCAATAGCCCCCGGAGGTGCGGTGAGGTTCGGCGGGTCCGTGGGGCTCCTTGTCTGCACCACCAGGAAATTCATGAGCGGTGGCCCTGCTCGCTGACCCCTGCCCACCCCGCAGTGTCAGCACCTTGCCACATCCCCCCGGGGCCAGGCGGGGTCTGGGGGCCACTGCGTGTCCCCTCGGGGATGCTGGTGGCACGGCACGGCGCTCCAGGGAAATGTCACCACAGCGAGAGCCGGGGCACAGCTCCCGTGCAGAGGGCCCTGCGCTGTGCCCAGGCATGTAAATAAGCCCTGCTGCAAAAGACGGGAGGACAAAATGCCCCCAGCAGCAGCAAAAATAAAGGGCAGGTCCCTGCAGGGTTGGCAGCTGTGTGAAGGAGCACGGAGCAGGCTCCTGAGGGCACCTCTGCCGCAGCGCCTGGCACTGCTGCTCCAGATGCCCGTGGGCAGCACCGAGCTGCAGGCTGGCAGGGAGCTGGGCTCTGACGTGAGCTGCCAGAGGGGCAGGGGGCTCCCGAGACCCTCCAACATGCCCAGGCTGCTGGCACCACCCATCGGTCTGCTCCAACATCGCTCCTTGCCACCAAAACCCCCGCAGGGCAAGCTCTCCAGATTTCTGGCCACGAGGCAGGGCTGGGGCAGTGCCACGGCCCCCACACTGCTTCCCCCGGGTGCCTTGGCGGAGGAGGGAAGTGCATTTCCTAACCAATGCAGGTACTTCACGATAACTCAACTTTACTTGAGTTCAACTCAATTTTCTCAGATTAAATAAAATTTCAAAGTGTCACTCACTAGCAAACTATCAGTTGGAAGGTGGTTGATTTTTCTAACCCTATCTCTGGTCCAATTACAATTTTTAATCTATATGTAGATAATGGTGAACAAAACCCCTGTAGAAATGTCAAGAGTGAGGAGGTTATTAGCTTAGTTTTAATTACTGTCTATCATTCTTAGAAAACCGCAGTAACCTGATAAATTAGGTGACAGCGCTGGCTGTAGGAGTTTAGGTGGGCCTTAAAGACACACCATTTCTTTAACCAAGGAGTTTGGGGTGGGTTCTCCTTCCCAGCTCACAGAACTGGCCGGGTGTCCTGCCCCAGCACCCAGCACCCAGCGCCCAGCACCCAGCACCCAGCACCCAGCACCGTGCCCAGAGCAGCGCCGTGCAGTGCGCCCACCCCATGGCCGGGCCTTCCCCTCGTCCTCCTGGCACTGTGCTGAAGGCACCCAAAAACCTCCCTTCCTCTGCCAGGAAGACGCTGGCAAGGTGGCTTATTTGTTGAAAACATCATTTGAGGTGAATTTTGTTTCTAAATGAGCACGGGACTGCGCCCGGAGCTCATCTCATTGACAAACAGTGTGTCCATTGCTTTTAAGGAGACAAGCTGCCATTCCGCTCCCCTGAAAAGCACATAATATGACAGGTGAAATGTCAGAAATGAGACTAAAGGCTTGGGGAAAACATTCTTCAGCTGTGAAGTATTCCCGCTAGGAATGTTAAACCGTAGATTAAACGTAAATGTCTCTAAAAGCCTGGAACGTCTCACACTTTATCAGCCGCTGCTCCCGATGCGTGCGCACACATCGACATGCACGCACACGCGGGGGCAATCTCCTCTCCAAATTAGCGCCCGGGCCCCGCGGCTCTTTGGAGATGAGGGCACCAGGAGGCGGCAGAGCTGGGGACACCGGGGGCCGGCATCTCCCCCCGCCACGCTCAGCCTTCCAGCCGCTCCCCCGCCAGCGCTGGGGCTCGGGGATGCAGCAGGGTGCCGAGGCTCTCGTGGTCCCTCGGTCACCAACAAGGCAGTGCCCGTCCTACACTGGGCATGCTGCTGGTGCTGCCGTGGGAGCTGGGGATGCTCTGGCCACGGCAGGGCCCCCACGCTCCCGCACCCGGCCGGGGGCTCTGCGGGCTGGCAGGTCGGCGGGGATCGCCCTGCGTGACCGGGCTGCATCCATCAGCCAATAAACAGTTCATTGCACAGAAAGAATTATCTTTGCTGGCATTAAGGTCGGCTGTAACACAGACATTATTACTAGCGGGAGGCATATAAGTAGAGTCTGTGGCAGATCGCAGCCTGTAACTCTTTATTATTTATACCGAGGCAGCCGTGCTCCTGGGAGGCAGAGGTGGGATGGCTGCGCTCACCCAGCGGCCCATGGGGACACCCAGGATGGGGAGTGGGCAGCCTCGGCACTGAGTCCAGGCTCTGCTCCTCCTGTTTCCTCCTGGAAATGGGGTCTGGGCAGAGCCCCCACCACCAGCTGCCTCCCCGGTGCTGGTCCTGCCCAGCAGCATCCCAGCATCCTGCTCCCGGGTCAGACACAGCAGGCAGCAGGGCTGGGCTGAGCACAAAGGGGCGGTGCACGAGGCGCATGGTGCATGAGGCACACAGTGCACGAGGCACACGGTGCACGAGCAACATGGTGCACAAGGTGCACAGTGCATGAGGAATATGGTACATGAGGCGCACAGTGCACAAGGTGCATGGTGCTGGCAGCCAGACGTGGGCCAGGGGAGCAGAGCACTGTGAGCTCCGGAGCTGATGCTCCCAGGACCTTGCGTTCCAGGGGAAGTTCCAACATTTCAGCTTTTGGTCCTAGAGCCAGACCTGTGCGCTGCCCAGAAGCCATTAATAATGCAGGAGACATTTAGGGCAGACATTTAGGGACCCCGCAGGGTTTTCATGCCTGGTGCCGTGCTCCAGCTGCGTGCTGCTGTGCCAGCCACGCGCCTCTCTGCTCACCCTGTCCCCTGTTTGCACGGAGCTGACAGTGCCGCCGTGCAGGGAAAAGCATCCCGGTGGCCAAGCACCCACGTGCAGGCTGCTCGGCTCGTGCTCAGCGAGCTGGGAGCCCTTCAGGAATTCATGCTCCACATCCCTCATGGCATCAGCTCAGTTTTTCTCTGAATTGTACCCAAACAAAGCATGCACGCTTACCTGCAGCATGCTGCCAGGGCTCTGCCCGCCTCCCTCCGAGCCCCCGGGCGATGGGAAATGCCTGCGCAGGTCAGAGAAGCAGCCGACAAGTGCAGCCGTCCTGGCTGCCTGACATTGTCATGGAAATCATGACTCCCTTCCACACTTTTCGAAATTAAAATGTGCCTCTGCTATAAGTTGTTATCAAAAATAGAAGCATTTTATCTATCTTTAGTACAGAACACAGATTGCATGGAGACATTCAATTTGGAGTCAATTTAAATTTCAATTGTCTGTGAAATCTAAATCAATAGGCTATAGTTCAATGGCGCTTTAATAAAACAGGACATAACAGAGAAATCATTAGGGATTACATATGATAAGAGATTGAAAACAGTGTCTGTGTAATGGTGGAGGAGCCATTAGAGAATTACCTCAAGCATTTGCAAGTAAACCAACAACCTCTTTCTCCTCCTGAGACTAACAAGAAGACTTAATTGTGCTGCAGCGTCTAAAAATACATCTCTGTCAGCCTTTTGATTGGTAGACAATTTACAGTGACATAAAAACCTCCGGGTGCCTCGCTGCTCCTCCATGCGCCTCGGATGCCTCTGCCCCCCGGCTGGCCGTTCGCACCCCACACGCGGGTCTGGGGTCCCCCCTCTGGCTCCTTGTAGTTGCCCTCGGTGCTGCGAGGGGCTGGGGGGGCTGTGGCACAGGCTCTGGGGGGGCTGTCCCGGCTCCAGGCTCCAGCTCACGGGACGGTGCCTGGGGTCCGGGCAGCTCCGGGCAGCGGGGGTGTCCGGGGGTGGCGGCTGCCTGCGGTGATGTACGGCCCCGGGTTGAACCTCCCCCTGATTTATGGGGTGCTGCGGCACGGAGCAGCTCCCAAACAGCATTAGTTAACTTTTATTTGCATTTAATAATAATTCACTTTCCCTTAGCTCGTTGCAAATTATCACAATCAGGCTGGAGATGAGATTGGATTTCATCAGCGCCGGTTTCCCACTCCTAGACTGGAGAAATCATCTGCATGGAAATGGAGGGCTGGGGTGACGGGGGAAGGCGCCCATCACTCAGCCACTGTGTGGGTCCCTTCTGAGTGGCACGAGCAGGGGCTGCGCGAGCTGGGGACCCCCATGGGGCTATTGAGGGGCTCGGGAGGTAAAGTGAGTGCTGGGTGCAGGGGAAGGGGCATCCCTCGGCAGCTGCAGGAGGGGTGGAGGCAGCAAGGGGCCTGCCCGAGCGCTTGGCTGGGGGAGGAAAAGAGGAGATCAGATGGGGAAGCGTGGATTAGACTGGGTTGGGTTGGATTAGATTAGATTGGAATGGATTGGATGGGATGGGATGGGATGGGATGGGATGGGATTGCACAGCACCACGCTGCACAGTGACACCACACAGCACTGGATCTGCCCACACAGCACCAGGTTGCACAGCAGCACACCGCTCAGCACTGGATCTGCTTGCATAGCACCGTGCAGGAGCTGGGGGAGCAGCCTGTCGGCCGGGGGGCAGGGAGGTATGCACCCTGCTGCAGCGCTCTGCCTCCTGCAGATGAGCTGATCAGATGAGATCAATTAAGCTGAGTGAGTCTCAGGTATGAACATTAAAATACTATTAATTGGGAATGAGCTAAAAGTGGTTTTAATTGCTGCAAATCCCATTTGTCCTGGTCGAGAGGAGAATCAAGGCAACAGAAGACATCGGCATAATCAGGAGAGTTTTGCAAGGTCAGAAAAGCCTCAACGGTGAAAAACAAAGTGTCCTGGGCTGCCACGGGGCCCAAAACAGCCCCGGCAGAGAGGCCTTCGTTGTGCACGTGCACACGTGGGCACGAAGCCCTGCGTGGCCAGGGAAGGGCTCGTTTGGGTTATTTTACAGCAGCCTGGTAGGGAAAAGATCCAACCCCAGGATTAACAATTTCAATAACAAACCAAGCAAAGTTAAGGGCATCTGAAAAATGTTTTTACAACCTTTGGTTAACCTGCAGTAACAGCTGTTTGAGTGTGTATAAATAAGACTATTCTGTGGAGGAGACAGGAAAAATTGGTTTTATTTTAAAGGACACTGTTTGGCTCCTGCAGTGCAGTGGCATCTGAGGAAATATTGTGCGGTGGCTCCTGCGCGTCATGTTTAATACTCAGAAATGCAGCCATGGAGAGCAATACATCTGCTGGCTCCTGACAGCTGGGAAGCTGGGGTGTATTTTAAAACCAGCTTCTCTCTCAGAAGGGACATTTTGAGAGGAACGCACGGGAAAAAAGCCTCCAGGACAGCCCGGGTGCTGGCCGGCCAGCCCTGGCCCCAGGGGGGTGCGCGGGTGGCACTGGGGGAGCTGGAGGGGCTGCAGGGGTCCCAGCCACGCACCCCTGCCCTGGGAGAGCCCCCAGCCACGGCCACCTCCACCTGGTAAATACGTCCTCTGGAATAACAGCTATAAACCAGGAATAATCCCCTCTGCCCCTTTTGTTAGAAAAAATCATGGCCTGGATTGGAACCAGAGACGTGCTTTTCTCCACCTGAAAATAAAAGTGTCACGCCGCTTGCCACTTCAAATCCTGGCAGAACGGGCTCCGGAGCCCACTAAAGAGTGAGACTTTAAGCCTCGCCATTAAGAATTACAAGAGATCCAGCGGGCAGCGTGGAAATACAAGAAATACTACAATGCCAGCGCTAAAACCTAATGAGAAATGGAACAAGCTGAGACAGAAGCTTAACAAGAAATACTGGACAAGTCCCCCAAGAAAAACTACAGGCAGCGCTGGAGAAGAGCTGCCAGCCGGCTCCGCAGCCGTATTGATCAGGGCCTGAGAAATAAGAGGAGGCCTTTGGAAAGTAGATAAACTGGGAGATATACAGCAGGAGAGGTCCAGAACTGATGAAAACGGGCAAAAATGCAGCTTAAATCAAAGGGCAAATACACAGAAAGAGAAAAGGTAATAGGATTTGTGTTTATGGCTAAAGAGGAGAGTTGTGGGGAGGTGATCAGGCACGGTGGTAATTGAAAAGAAATGGAAAATGGAGTTCAGTATAAATATTTCCTTGGGAGAAAGTGGGCTGAAAACTTGAAACCATCATTAATACCAGATCCAGAAGGTGTCTGGGAAGAATATGCAGGGAGGTGAGAGCGAGGGGGTTGTGGGCAAGGGATGGGGAGCCAAAGAAAGGGGCCGAGGAGCAGCCCAGCTTCTACCTGCTGGTGCTGCCCAGCTCTGGGCAGTTCTGGGGTCCGACCACGAGGGTCTCCTGTGGCTGTGTAAGATGCTGTGCTTCCCCCTTGTCTGCTCGGAACCTAGTAGGAGTGCCCTCTGCTCCTGCCTGCAGTGTGCCTGCCCATCTGTCCCCATCCCTGTCCCCATCCCCGTCCCTCCTGTCCTGCACTAAGGGGCTCTGATGCTGCAGCTCCCAGGGGCTGACGGGGCTGTGCCATGGGCACGTGGGGTTGTGATGAGCTCGTGGGGCAGGGGTGGTGTGGGACGGGGATGGGGCAGGAGGTGGTGCACACCCCTCCGTGCACACGGGGACACTGCTGACCCTTGGTGCAGGGTGACACGAGCCGTGCAGACACAGTGCCCAGGGCTCAGGGTAGGGCAGAGGGTGCCCATCCTGCCCGTCCTGCCCGTCCTGCCCTGGGCGCGGGGCTGGAGCTGGCGCGGTGCCGGCTGCTGCCTCCCCCCAGCTCTCCGACTCCTCTGCCATCAGGCAGGAGCCTGATCCACAGATTCTCAGCATCCTGCCTACTAAATCTTGCCTGTCTCCGGCTTGCTGCAGGGCACGCTCACCAGCATGCAGAGCGCAGCTGCTGCTGCTGCGGGGATTTGCAGCCCCCTCGCTCGCTCCATCGGCACTGGGCAGGGGTGGGTGCCGTGGGCAGGGGCAGCGTGGGGAGGGGGCAGTGTGAGGAAGGGGCAGCAGGCACATTGCCCAGCAGGCAGGGCAGGATCCCGGGGGGATGCACCCCTCTGCTGGGGCAAGCTGGGGCTGGGGTCAGCTCCCCACATCCCCCCCACCTGCAGGGCTCTGGGTGCCCCGAGCCCCAGGCACGGCTGTGGGGGGGCTCAGGGTGACAGCTGCCCCCCACCTGTCCATCCTCAGGGGTGTCAGGACGGCCCCGCAGCCCCCCCAGCCGCAGACCTGCTCATGGGGAGCGTGGGGTCCCCAGCGCCCCACAGCCCCCGCAGCCGCCCGCTGCCTCCTGCGGTTGCCATGGCAATGAGGCAGAAAGGGTCTCACATCCCGCCATGCCCCGCGCCTGCATCCCTCCTCTGAGCATCCCTCCTCCGAGCATCCCTCCTCCGAGCATCCCTCTGCCGAGAGCATCCCTCCACACCGAGCATCCCTCCTCCGAGCATCCCTCCTCCGAGCATCCCTCCTCCGAGCATCCCTCTGCTGAGAGCATCCCTCCACACCGAGCATCCCTCCTCCGAGCATCCCTCCGCATGGGCATGGCCACGCGGCCGGCCCGCTGCAGAAATATTAATCAGAGCTAATTAGGAGGAAGCCGCCCCCACCCTGCGTGCCCAGTTTGGCAGCTGCTGGCACCGCGCCATCCCCAGCAGTGGCAGGACGTCGGGCTGGCCTCGAGCTCCTCCTCAACACCACCAAAACCCCCGGCACTGCGCACCGCCAGCCGGCCGATGCATTTTCCACATCTAAAAAATGTAATTAAATGAAAGGTCGTTCTTATTTATTCTTTCATTACACGAGCCCCAAGCTATCAGACAGTCAAATTAATACTTGGGAGCATTTAATGAAGGGCGGGGGGCTGGATGCAGGCTGCTCTCGGGTGGTGCAGGAGCTGCAGAGGTGCTGCTGGGGCGAGGTGGCCGCAGGGTCCCGCTGAACAGGGCAGAGGTGCAGGAGGTGCCCGGGGCTTTCAGTGGCCACTGAATCAGTCCGAACAGGCCACCTGAGTTGTGAAAGCCCCTGCGTGCACCCGAGGGGTGTCCCCAGCTGTGGCACTGAGGGGTGTCCCTGAGCAAGGAGTTTGGGGACACCCCCGCAGCCCCATGGGCAGGTCGGGCGGCGGAGCTGCAGCCCGGCACGCTGCCCGCGGAGCAGTGCAATATTCGCAGGGGAAGAATTTTTTTAATAGGGCCCCATGGAGACATCAGAGCAATTTTCAAGGAGGTTTGAAGCCACCAGGAAGCTTATTAGATCCGTTCTGCAGAGTTAATTTGATGTTGGTAATCAGTGAGCAAGTTAAGCAGTTAAGGAGGCAGTGGCTGCGAACGGTTCGGCTGCTCAGCCCGCTTGTAAGCAGCGGTTACTAATGAGCGCCTCATGAATATGAATGAGAGATGATTACAGTGTGGAAAGGGCAGTCAGCAAACCGTAAACTTAATTTTAATCTTTTTATTATCAAAGTCACGTTATTAATAATAGACTTTACATTAAGACCGGGCTTCATCAGCCAATTACCGCACTGCCCGGCACCCCGGCCCCACCGGCCGCTTCCCTCAGCACCTGCCCACGGCCCCAACGGGGCTCACGGGGCCGTCGGGATGCACGGAGCACCCCCGGGGCTCCCGGTGCCCGAGGATGGGGTGCAGGTGACCCGCACTCAGTGCCCTCCCTG